TTTTGTGTTTCTGGTATCTTTTTTTGGATGTTTATTCATTTTGGCAGGGGGTTTCACTGTGGACAGGTTTGACCCTATTAGCTAACTAAGGTATGGTTGTGTTTGTCAATTTGGTATGGCTACCTCTGTGACTGCTCAGTTGGCCTCTAGTGTCTTTTGTGTGTGGTTGCCTCCAACTAAGGTATGGTTGTGTTTGTCAATTTGGTATGGCTACCTCTGTGACTGCTCAGTTGGCCTTTAGTGTCTTTTGTGTGTGGTTGCCTCGGGTCTTGTGCCTCTCCAGGGAGCCACCTCTCTGGTCAGCTTGGACTCTGGTCAGCTTGGTCTCTCAATTTAAATTTAGTCTTTACCATTTGGAGCTGCTAGAACTTTAACCTCTCATTTGTAAAATGGGTTGGATGCAGAACCAACCTTTTCAGGATAGTTGTAAGAATTAAGAAAATCATAATAGATGAAGTGCTAAACACTGCATGTGGTATGAAATAAACACTAAGAAAAATTTCAAAAAAATCTCTTTAAGTTAGGCAATATTATTATTTCCTTCCTCTCGTTTCATAGATGGAGCAATTGAGGCTCAGAAAGGTTAAGTAACTTATCTAAAGATCTTACAGTGGTGGAATTTGGATAAGTCATTCCAGACTGCAATGAACACCTAACTGGTTAGTTGCTCTGTGCTCTGAGCCCACATGACATCTTTCTTACAATACAGAATTTATTTACAACACACCATATTTCCCCATCCTTCTCTGAAATATGAGCTCTTCAAGGGCAGGGACTATGTCTTTGTTACCTCAGTACTTAGCAGTATTAGACACCCAGAACATACTAAAAAATGTATGACAAATGAATAGTATCAACTGGGTACAGTAGCAAATTGCAGTTGGCTGGAAGGGCTTTGTTTATTTGAATTGTGTAGTGAGATGCAGTTCTACTAATTGGTTATGTGAACAGTTTCTCTTGGTAATTGAGAACAATTTGTTGTTGTTATTGGAACACAGAAGCCCATTCATCATTCCTCCCTACCTTTATTTTGCTTAAAAATTCTTTTTAATTCCATGATTATAAACTGTCTAAAAGTAGAATGACCTTGCCCTCCACTAAAATTCGCTGGTGTTTTAACTCTTCTGCTAGACACATTGAAGGCCTTAATTGTCACTTTATCAAAATTTTGTGTTTTTGTTTTAAGGAGAGAACCTGTCCATTTACTAATCTTAATAGAGCTGCTGACAGAAGATTAAAAATAAAAGGAGAATTCAGACTAGAGGTTCAGAGAAAAATTTCTCAAGATTACATTGATTAAAATCACCTGGTTCTTGTTTTAAAACTAAGAAATTAGTTCATGTAATTTATTCCATTAATAGCTCAAAGAAGGAGAATAGTGGTCATCTTGATTAACCAGAAGAAGCAATTCTTTATGAAAACTCATAGTAAAATATGAATATTTTTTATTAATGTTAAACAATATCTTTCTGAATCCAACTGCCAACATCACACTACACAATGAAACACTAGAAAATTAACATTAAACATTATAACGCCTATTAACATTGAAGACAAAGCAAGATAACCACTATTACTATTATTGTAGCCATCGTAGTTCTTCACAACTTCAATCAAAAAAGTCAAAATACTTGAAATATATTTGAAGAAAACTGAAAACTTCTACTGTGAAATACCAAAGACATACATAAATGGAAAGGTATTTTTTGTTCCCTGAAGACAAAGTTTAACATAGGACATATACATTTCCCACCAAATTGACCTAAATATAAAAAATAACTTCAATAAAAGTCCTAATAATATAAATTTGATCGAGTATTTCTAAATGGATCTTCCTTTATGAGGCATTAACATATATTCAGTACATGCCAAGCACTGTATCAGGGAGAGCGATTGCCAATGAAGACTATGCAGTGTGTATACTTGGATCCCACTTTCAAAAACATACATTCATACACAAATAGAAGGAGATACACTTAATTGTTAGTAGTAGTTATCTCGGGGTGCTAGAAATTTTGGTGATAATTTTCTGTTTTGCTTATTTTTACTTTCATTTTTATACTGAAAAAAACTACCTGTGTAATTTTTGTTAAAATAATCGCTTAAAAAAAGAGAAAAATAAAATCATCTAGTTCTTCTAGGGGTAAAGTAGAAAATTAATCCAAAACGGCATTATTTAACAATATTTACGATCCTCCCACTGATTAGTTATACTCGTATATGACGTCTGACAAATTATTGAATTCCTGTGGATTTATCTCACGTGTAAAATTAGGGGGTTGGACATAGATTGTAAGGGACCTTTTGTTTCTATCCCTTCGTGACAGGGATGGGGGTGGGCAAGGAAAAGAAGAGCGACCCAGGCAGTCTCCTCCTTCCAGCATCAGCCGGAGCCCACACGCCCACCGAGAACCAGATGGCGCCTCCGCTCTTTCCCAGCGGCCTGGGGAGGGGGAGGAGAACCAATCCACTTCCGCACAGGCCTCGAGCCCCTCATTCGGCGATCTTCGCTGAGAAGCGCATAGCATGCTGGGATTTGTAGTCCTGCACATGGTAGTCGGCGGGCGTTTATAACCCGAGGTGGACTTGGCATTCTGGGCTTTGTAGTCTCTGGTTGGTGGTTTGTGTAATCCGTTCCTGCCTCGAAAGCCCGAAGTGACACCACGGACTCCGGCGGGTCACATGACTCCAGACTAGAGCGTAGGTCTCACAGCGGCTCCCGCCCAGCGAGTTTCGCCCCCGCGCGGCCGTTGCCGAGGAGACGGCGCACGTCTCGCCGCGCGTTGCCCCCTCTGCAGTCCCCCCGCCCCTCTTCTCCCACCACAATGAGATCCTAAGATGGCGGTGGCTGCGGCGGTTGGCGCTGAGTAGCTGAGGTAGAAAAGGCGGCCATTGGGCCTTAGGCAGCCGGGGAACTTGTGGACCTTCCTCTTGCCGTCTCTTAAGGGAGGACCGCTGCTGGTGGCCGGTCGTGGGGGCTGACCGCCACTTTGCCCTTGGCAGGAGAGGCTGCTTCGTTTACAGGTAATGCCCGCGAGTCTCCAGCCCTTGGCAACCGAGTGCAGCGCGCCATAGGGGCGGGAGAGCAGCGACTCCGGTATCCTTGACGCTGTCGGGCCTGGCCTCGGGCCCACGCCTGCTCTGTCGGCTTCTGGGTCTTGCCGCCTGCTTCAAGTTCTCTAGGCGGATGGTCCACCCCCTCTCCTGGGACCAACTGGCGCGATTTCTCGGGCGAGCATCTCGGGCGCGTTGGCGACTGTAGAGTCCCCTTCCTGCCTCTCCGCTCCTCTCCGTGGTCCGTGGGGAGGAGGCCGCCCTGCGTCCCGGTGCTTCAGGAAGGCCCTGCGGGGTGGGGGTGGGGAGGGGGTGGAAGCCGAGCGGGGCTGGGGTTTGGGTTCCGGGGCACGGCCTCGTGTTCTCGAAGAAACAGGCCTTGGTGGACGTAGCCCCCTCACTGTGCCTGCGCCCCGCCACCCGCAGTCTGTGGGGCTGTTGACGTCCTTAATTTCGGGTGCAGAACGGCGGGTGAGGAGCAGCGCGACTCTTCGAGTTTCGGTTGAGCTGTGAGCAGCGGGATTTCTCCTGTCTGGTATTTTTAGAGCAGAAGGGCCGGGGGAGGCGTTCTTTACATTAGCTTAAAGGTGGGTTTATGCTGGGAAGGGAGTGTGCATAGCGCTGCCCCCACTCCTCTCCCATTGCCCCTTTTCCTTCCCATACTGCAGATCTAGTTAGAATCAGGGAAAACTAAATGCCAAGTGGGACTTGGGAACGTTGCTTGCGTTGCAGAAACTGGTGTTTGAGGATTAGGTATTAGGCCCCACCAGGGAGGCTGGTCGTGCGAACTTTTCATCCCGCAGCCCACTCTTAAGGAGATCACCTTGTGTTTTTTTGTTTGTTTTGTTTGTTTGTCTTTGGCCGATTTGGGTCCTTGTCATGTGTCCTACGGATGAAGGATCGTGTTTTGGCGCTGGAAGAAGCGGGCTTTCTGGGCGTCTGTACCACCCCCGCCCCATAACTGCTTTCCAGACTCCGCCTTCTTGTGTTCTCTGGTTACTGGAGTGGGTGTTGTAGAGCTTCGGGTGCACCTGCTCTTTTCTTTCCCTATCACCTTCCTGGTGAGGACCGCTGGACACCATTATAATATTGAGTTTTTGAACGGCAGGTTTATATAGTAACAAGGTTATTTTATAATGTAGGTAGCTAGCTTATAAATGAACAAATAATTTTTTCATTATCGGATATGCAAGTTCTTAAATTGACAGGAGGTTAGTGATTTGATCAATCAGAAGAATAAACTTTGGCACGGATTTTTTTTTTTTTTAATTAAAAAATTTTTCTTTTATTTTTTTGTGGCTGGCTGGTGCGAGGAACCGAACTCAACCTTCGTGTTTTTACACCACTCTCTAACCAGCTGATGGTGTGGATCTTTAAATGGCTGTTTGGTAGGATCTTAGCAGGTTTAAGGGAGTTAAACATTTACATATATCACATTGTTTTTCAAAAGGATTAAGTTAACTTGAGTTTAAAGTATTGATAAATTGTAATTTCCCTTTTTCGTTGGTTTTCTTTTTTCTTTTTGGTGGCTGGCCAGTCTGGGGATCTGAACCCTTGACCCTGGCGGGCCCTAATCAGCTGAGCTAACCGGCTTCTAAACGTATTTTAGATGATGAGTATCATATTTGTCATTCTATACTTCATAGTCTAAATAAAGAATTTACTGAAGCGATACATTTTTTTTTTTTTTAAATCATAAGCAGGCAACAGCTTTGAAGTGTGGAGCAGGAAAAGAACTGTTTCTTAGCTGCAAAGGCGAGTTTCTAAACAGGTAATTTGACATTGTACATATTATTGTCCTTTGTATTATAGTTGTAGAAGACTGTATCAAAATAACAGTGCATGATTGAGGGCCCTCTGCCTAAGTAAATAAATATTCTAGATCTGCTGTCCTGTTTGTCATACTTTTTGGTGTGCCGCTTTGGTATTGTTTCATACTTTAGTGGGAAAACAGCCTCGTAATTCCTAATTATTAAATACTGGAATGGTTTATGCAATACCTTTTGAAATTTCTTTGTTTTCACAGAATTTCTTCAGCTGATTTGAGTTTGAATTTGTTCTGTAACAACTGTTTGGATAGCCTCTGATTCAAAATCCATTTTATCTCAAGTTATCTTCTTCTACAACATTTCTATTAATTGGCTGTTTATTTTTTTCATGATCTCCTCTACTTGTTATATCTATGATTGAAGTTCTTTTAGTTGTCTAGAGTGACTTTAAACATTAGTTTTTGTGCATAGTGCATTGTCACATGCTGGTTTTATAGAGGTATTCTCTGACCAGCAGAGAAAAGTCAGTGCTGGGGATTGTAAGTTCACTGAGGGAAAGTTAAGTGATTGCTTGCTAAGGACAGTTTTGAAATTAAATGACTAAAGGATGAGAATTAGAAGAAATTTTGAAAAAGCATTTAGATATAATTGCTCTTTTACAATAAAATCTCAGAAAGAAATAGTCTGAATTTATTCTAGTGTTAAAATTTTTAAAAAGCCCATTTCTAAAATTTGTTTAATACAGCCATCCCTCACTGTTAGTGGGGGATTGGTTCCAGGACCTTGTAAGGATACCAAAATCTGGGATGCTCAAGTCCCTTATGTAAAATGGCGTAGTACTGAATTTGCATATATCCTATGCATTTCTTCCCGTAAACTTTAAATCATCTCTAGATTACTTACAATACCTAGTATAATGCTTATACATCAGTTCATTTGTGTGGATTCAGTGTAGTACTTGGCATGCAGAAAATTCAAGTTTGCTTTTTGGAACTGTGTGGAATTTTTTTTCCCGAATATTCTTGATCCTTGGTTGTTTGAACCCACAGATGCAGAACCCGTGGATATGGAAGGCCAATTGTATTTTCTCTGTGAGGCCTGAAATGAGACTGTCATGAGAAAATACAAATTGATAGTTGATTTATATCTTAATTATAATTCCCAGTGTTTTAACTAGTGTTTAACAAAATAGGACAAGAAAAATGGAACTCGGGGAAAGGTCAAACCTGAGTGTGTGTATTAGAGTTTTTTAACACTAGAGTGATTGCTGTATAGTAGGTGTTTAGTAAAATAAAAAGAATTATACAATCAGTTATAAAATATCTTTTTAGCACATTAGGAAAGATAGATAAGAGGAATAAAAATATAGAATAATTGAATTCTCACATTGGAAGACCTTGCTTTTCTCACTAGGGGGTTTCAAGAGATGTATAGCAATATAGTTATTTTACCAATTTGATCGAGTGCCTACAGTGCGCTACATAATGATTGTAAAATACTGGAGATAGGGCAGTGAGCAAAGTAGACAATGTGCTTTGCCTCATGGAGTAAACTTGTAAACTTACTTGAAACTTATTGAAAGTGTTTGTGTGTGTAGTATAGTATCGTATACCTTAATAGTAATGGAGTAAACTTGTAAACTTACTTACTTGAAACTTATTGAAAGTGTTTGTGTGTGTAGTATAGTATCGTATACCTTAATAGTGTACACAACCAGTGCCATTTGATGACTATTTCCTCACTGTTTGTCAGTTTGAGAGTAAAAGTAGAGAAAGCAGGTAGAGGGGTTTATCCAGAATTGAGCTGACAGAATGGTCAAAGAGTGAAGGAGCTGATGAAAAGATCCTGTATGTTGTTTTTTTTTTTTTTTTAAAAGATGACCGGTAAGGGGATCTTAACCCTTAACTTGGTGTGGTCAGCACCACGCTCTCCGAAGTGATCTAACTGGCCATCCCTATATAGGGATCCAAACCCGTGGCCTTGGTGTTATCAGCACCACACTCTTCCAAGTGAGCCACGGGCCGGCCCCCTGTATGATTTTTTAGGTATGATTTTTTTTTGACCATCTAAAGAGGAGAAATTGAGAAATTCCTCAAACGAAACTGTGGCTAAAGGACACATAATAATAGCTACTTATGCATTTTCTCAGTTTTCATTAAAAGTGCTTAGTTATACACGGTAGCAAGGCTTTTAAAACAATGTACTGGCTATTTCTGTTTTATAATTAGTAAAGGAAATACCCCAATAATGCAACCCTTAGAAAACTTGTACAGATATATAAAATACCAGCTTTGGTTATTTTGTTTCTCTAAATTTAGAAAAAAAAGTAACTGTTTATTTTCAACATGAGTTTATTTGGGTAATGAGAATTTCTAAAATCTTGATTTACAGCTCTCAGTTGAAAAATAAGTATTTCCAGAGACAGTTGTAAGTAATTTAATGCTATTCAAGAAATAATATCTTAACTTTAAAGATTTTCAGGAAAATAATCTTTTTTTTTCTTGATTTATTTGAATTTCTTCTTTATCTTATATTCTTATTTCAGAGGTAAACCTTAGTCATACAGTTTCATGGTAATGAATTCTGTGGTATTCTACTTAGACATATGTAATGTTTCTCCATAGTAAGAATCCTGCAGCAGGATTTCTTCAAAATGATCTCTCACTGAAAGTAGCTTAAAATTGCCATAGTATATTTTTATTTTGTACCTTTGTAAGTAAGATAAGGAAGCCAAATAAAGCTGTTAACAATAGCTAGTTTAGTAGGGCATAATATGGGTTGAAGTGTTTGTTTGAAGTAGAATAATTTTATTTTTATCTCCATTCAGCTGCCCATACTGTAATCCATCACCCAGCACCAATTGTTTTCTGACGCTTCAACTTTCTCATCTCATTGTTTTTCTAATAAACCTACCTGGTAAAATGATAAACTTAGATGGATTTAAGGGAGTGCTTATATAGAAGCTGATGAGTACTGCTGAAAAAAAAAATTGCAGTGCATATTACTGGTATCGATAAATGGTCTCTGGTTTGAACTGAGTCCTTAGTACTGCCCACTGTCATTTTCCATTCTCTGTTCTTCTCACATCTCTCAGACACTGCCATCTCACACTCTCACATTTAATGTACAGTCCTTCCTACTTCACATCACTTATGAACTCCTTTGACTTCCTACCACTGAATCTGCTAACCAGCCTCCAAC